GGGGGGAGGGGCTGGCAGGCTTGCCATATCATAATTATTGTGAAATTTTGCCGAAAGCAACAACCATACGAGAGAAGTTATTAAATCGTTATAACTGAAATCCAGGTACTAACTCACCTCTTGGTAATAGAAAATAAAGAATAACGTCTCTGTGGACAATCTTTGAAAGAATTCTATCGAGTCTACGTGTTGTGGAGGATGTTGATGGTGATGCGCCGGTGTAGGGTAAGGATTACGAGGTAAACAAGGTCTGTTGACACAGAAATAAAAGGTAAGCAAACCTGAACCTGCTTTGATCACTGTTGAATGCTTATACTAAACGTCACCAGCACCGGATCTCTCGCCTTCACTCATTTCTTACAATGTTCGCCTAAGAGAACTGGGGAGAAGTCACTTTCTAGTGTAGCACCAAACTCAACAACCTTACTATGAATACGGTACCTCGAGAATCGAGATCAGTCTAGGGTAAGATCAATTGAAAGTTCTGCTCATTGGGGTTAACTTAAATGGTCACAGTTACTAGTGACCATAAGCACTACTAGTGAGCCTGTACACAGGCTCGCTAGTAGGGTAGAAACTTAAAAACCCAACGAAAAAAGCGTCCTGCGAGATCTAGTTCCCAGACCGCACTCAGCTAGGGAGTGTTTACAGGCTTGCACAATTTACAATCCACCTTAATAGCCAGGGCAAAGAGTACATGTACATAAAGTAACACTGTAAGACCTAAGGAAGTAGTAGGTAGCATACCTGACTTTCTCAGAGTCCGCCGGAAGCGGTAAATGATGGTAAGCAGCCTCTAGCATGGCCAGCTGGTAACATCTCTCCTTGTTCAGGGGCACAGGACCTAAGGGAGCCACACCCAGTAGGGGCTGGAGGTGCGCTGTGTTCGTCTCTTGTAAAGCCTTGCTCTCATCTGTTGTTTGGCTGCTGCTTGAATCAAATAAACCTGAGGACAGAAAAATGAAAGCTTTAAATCTAGAGAGGGGAAACGCTAGGATTAAAACCTGACAAGTAGGAACTTAATCTGGCTTGGGTAACAAATAATCAAAATTATAAACCAACCATCCACCAGTTGTGGATTCATATTTTGCGACAGTTATCCAGGAGTAATTTACAACTTCTTAGATTCAAATTTCCATTCTTTACTTTCGCGATGTGACAAATATAACACTTTTTGAATGTCTAACTTTGTGGCTTGAATAATTGAATAAGTGATGAAGCCACTGCCAGCCAACAAGACCTAACAACTTTTCACATGACAAAAAAAGAATCACCTTTACCTCTACTTTCTGTGCTGTAGTCTGTTGGTGTTGAGACAGGATTGTTCAAACCTGCTGTAGCCACCGCCTGTGCTGCCATGGACTTCAACGATGAGAATGTATTGGAAGTTGAAGGCTGCTGCAAATTTAAAGGGGGAAAACCCATATGATTAACATTGCTACTCACGAAGAATTGAAATGATGATAGATTAACTGAAGTAAGTTTAAATAAGCCACTGTGAAGGTAAAACGAAGTTATAGCAAGAAAATAGAACTGCCAAGACAAGTTGGCCATTTACAGTATTGTGGTCAATAGGCTGAATTCAAAGTTATCACTCAGACGTATACCCGGCTAGTGATAAAAGTGCAAGAATTGAATCAGAGGCAAAAAAATATTTCTGTGCTACGAAATTAGGTTTTCTGGGTTGCACTTGTTTGCTGGTCCAAAAAACCTTTTCAATTCATCTGCAAACTTAGAAGTTCAAGGCAAGTGACAAAGAATATTGACTGGCCATGAGATATTACTCACGGCAATGTTTTAACTACTCAACTGTGCTAATTTTTACCCCCAAAATACTGAAATGACGAAGACAAACTGCACTGAGAAACACCGTTCTACAATTTCAGGTTTTTTTCCCTATATCTCAAGTATTCTCAACAGGCTAGGAACAAAAAGAATTTCAAACATTTTGACTTAATAGTATTGCAAAGGGTCACAAGGCAGACACCTTCTAACAGAGCTGCGAGTTGCAATAATAACCACAAGAAATTGGAAGACACCATTAAGGGTAATAGAGATAAAAACACTTTTGTCTTTTCAAAATCACAACTATAAGATACCTGACTTGGTCCTGAGTTTGAAATGAGATGAGACCCACTCAAAATTGGTGCAGGTGGATTAGACGATGTCACCAAAGCCTCTCCTCCTAATGACATAGTAGGATTGGATAACACTGAACTGGCATTTGACACCAGAGGTGCAGCCATGGACAAGTTAAACCCACCAAGATCCGATGTTTGGACAGAAGAAGGGACAGAGCTTGGAGGAAGGGTAGATGTTAGGCTTGTCGACACAGATTGCACAGGAGCCGGTGACACTGTAGACGTCGAAGGCTTGATCCCAAGGACAGAACTAAGAACAGGTGATGGTTGTGGTAATGGGTTAGGTTGTGAAGGTGGCGTTGCTGTTGATATCGTCGGTGGAGTGGTAATGGACAGAGATGCAATGGATGAAACAAAGTCAGAGATGCTTGATGCAATGCTTTCTGTTTCTGTATGATGGAAAGTGAATCAACATCAGTAAATTATAAATAGAAACTTAAGCAGGTAAGACTATTCTCCAAAGTTTTAACAGTTACTAGCTCCTGCTTTAAACTTGCTTTTCTTTCTTTTGCAGAAAAAAATTCCTTGGCCATGAATTTACTCAGTAACGTTCATTATCACCACACAGAGTAAGCATAAAATTCCCTGACTTTGACTGACAACTTATATATTCTGATATTATGACATTCTGATCACATAGAGCAGTACACTGAGGGTTTCCTGACCTATCATAACCATGTCCGACCTTGTAACAATAAAGCAATTACCAGGGAAGTGGTTACTCTGCATGGACTGTTCTGTGCCATTTCCTGCCAATGAACTGGGCCGTGATATACTGCTGGGCATCGTTGTTGGTGCTGATGACACATGATTGACCAGTCTTGATGACACTGCTGAGGCCGGGGGAGAATCCGGTGCACTATCAACATGATTCTGCTGTGCAGCAGCAGCCACAGCATATCCTAACACGGGAGGAGGAGGAGGTGTGCTCGGAGGTGGTGTCTTGAGTAACGGCTCCTCTCCATTACTGGACTCATGATTCTCGAAGGCATTAGCATGAGTCAGTGAACTGCAATAAATAACAAAATAAAATGACGATCTTGATGCCCTTTAAGGGAGAATATAAAGTAGTGACTCTAGTATAGCACACAAAGTAAATACCTAACCACTGACAACAAAAATAAACAAAAATAATGCAGGGGTTTTTATTAAAGGCCAAGCACAGTGCAAATTGACCAGTTGTGAGGACGACTTTGACCACCTGTTTTGACCATCTAGAGGATTTCAACTTTTTCTTACATTAAAAGTTCAGTTGAAATAGTTTTGCCCAACAGCAAAAACCAGTTGCACTCCTGCTGAAAACATTAACTAAACCCCTGATAATGGGACAGACTTTTATATTTAAGAATGTTTACATTAGAGGGGAAAGATACTCACTTAACTACTTTTGCTGGTGTATTACCTAAAAGACAATAAGAGAAAATGATCAGATTAAAAAGCAGTTCTTTCTAACTTTCTTTTACAGAAGTTGTTACAATCCACCATGTTGGAGAGGGACTGATTCCAACAAATTCTGTTTTGCATTTCCCATTTTAAAAACCAAGTGTGATCACAGACTAAAACTCCTAAAAAAATCAAGCAATGACTATAGTTGAATGACTTTGTAAATTTAAGCTTACTAGCTTTAATGATAATTGGACTTGATATGCTTGCTGGTGAAGTCTGTGTGACTGACGGCTGGCTAAAGCTGTTAGTCTTGAAGGTTGGTGTTCGAGGGGGTGAATTGCTTGGCAGGCTATTCCCTTGAGAAGAACCATTCTTGGAGTTTTTTCTTGGTGAGCTCTGCAGGATAAGAATAACATCCATGTTCATCCTGGCAGTTGTTTCCCTTATTATACATACACCTACACTTGGGTGTAACTGTTTTTTAGTTGATTTGGGTAAGTGTCCCATTGGTACACTATTACTAATCAGGGTTCTCAATAAAAGCCAGCTGCTGCCTAAAAAAACTGGCTACTTGCATTTCTGAGCCACCTACTCTTTGGGCATGGGGTCCGGGTGTGGTGTACATTTTTAACTACGCTAGCGCTGTAGGATAAAAATTGAAAAAGCCTTTCTAATCCGTCAATATTCTTGACGTTTTGACCTTTCTCAAAATTTTATTAGGAAGTATCTCCTTCACAAAGCGTAAAATAGCATTTCACATCTTCTCATTTCAAAATTTTGGGGGGAAACATGCCCCCGTACCTCTTGAATCAGTGTCAGCCATCTACTCCATGAAATAAGCCTTCTACTCACTAAATTAATGAGCACCCTGTATTACTGATTGAGATTTTGTGTGTTCTGTTAGGAAAAACTGTTTTGGGGTTGAAAGGGTTCTGGTTGAAGAATTGTGGTATTGATCAACTATTTCAAACCATGGCAATTGAAAAAAGTGAACTATGTTGAAGCCTCAACCGAGTCAACCTTTTGAAACCAACATGTTGTTTGAGGCTGATTGAAGAAGTTGATCTTGAGACCAAAGCAACTGAAAAATGATTTTTCTAGTAGATTAAAAAAAAGTCTTAACTGAGCCACTTTAAATTTGCAATTTTTTTAAAACGTGAAATTTGCAAAATTAACTGGCCATGACTTCTTCACAGACTGACAGGCACCGTAAAAATGTTTCAAAAGCAAAACAACTGTTTGAACAATACTCCAAACTGTCATTGGTGAAATTCGACTGCTAAAAATAGCTGATTTAAATGTCAAAACAAATGAATCTTTCTCATCTAATTATTTCTGCAGTGGTAAGTTTGTAAGTACACACACAATGACAAATCACCCATGTATTGTCACTCCATAAATGAAATGTTATATCCCTTAACAATTCCACACAATTTTACGCATGATTTTATCAGGAAGCTTGTGTTTTGTTCTACTAATTTCATAACGATAAAGAACATTGACGTGTTCTTTCAGAAAATGATGTCTTGTTTGTCAAATATTTCTTTTCAGCATAGTAACATGTTCAGTTACCCATTTACATACCACACAGCCAAAACTAAACAAACTTAAAATTTGCATATGTGCTGAACAACGTGCGTGGTAACATGGTACATGTACATACACAATGAAATTCTGACCTTGTTTCCGAGAAAAGGGTTTGTTTTCCTTGAGAAAGACAGAAACTAGTTCAGACAATTTCATTTTGTTTACTAGCCAAAGTGGCTAGTGGAAATTGAAAACCTACTAGCCAAAACTAAATTTCTACTAGTCTGTGGCTAGTTGGCTACCATTAGTGTTGAGCTCTGTCAGCCTAACTGCGAGGGCAGAAATTCTGTCATCTTGAATTTTTTCAAACGAGAGACAAAATCTCTCTCCAGGAAGTGACTGAGTCACGTACAGGCTTTTAGCCAGATGGGTTTCCAGACTCTCCTGTGGATCGCCACTTTCTAAAGAAAATTTTTTTTTTTTCATGTTGCCTTTTCAATTGCTCATTTGAGCAGGCCCTATAGCACATTTTGGACAGCCACTTTTCAAATTCTGGCTAAAAGCCTGGTCACATAACACACTTGTCATGTGTAAGTAAGTAACATCCGTGTGGACACTGCATTTCTTTGTCTACTCTTAATACAACACTTGAAAAGCTATTACCAAATTGATTTTGGTACCCACTCCAGGTGTTACAGGTGTTATCGGTGTTCCAGGTGAGGTTGGTGTGCCAGGAGAGTTTGGAGGTATCGTAGAGCTTGGCGACAAAGGAACATGATTAAGAATAACATCATCATCATCTGTAGGGGAAGTTGCCAGTGTGTTTACTGTAGAGGATAAAGTAGGTACATGTAGTCAATAAACTATATATCCTGTCAGGATTTGAATGTTAAACTTAGCATCTACTTTCACCTTACATCCTTTCGAACCCATGATCGTTTCTGATAACATGCTAGTTATATTTTTAAATATGTGTTTTATACAATAAAGGGTCAACCTACCTAGCCCTCAATATTTGAAATGAGTTCACTTCGATTTGTTTCAGAGTTATGAAAGTTAACATTTTCAGCACAACTACACTATAATAATCAGAGTCTAAACACAAATTGTAATGCTAACAGCAGCCACTGAGAAAACAACTGATGTTCCTATTGAAAGGACACACCCATATTAGTCTAAAATCTCATGACACTTACAGGATGCAATATTTTCTTCAAGGTCAAAGTCATCATACATGAACTCGTTTTCTTGGAAGTCAGGTTCCTGAAGAAAAATCATAATATTTCATTGATAATATATCTAAATGTAGCACTGGCAACATATGGCACCCTCTATAGCAGGGCCCCAAAAAGTTCAAAATTAAAATACACACCATATTTTTAACACCTTAACACATAAAAAAAATGCTTGTAATTCAAAGAAATCTAAAACAGCAAACATTAATACCACAGAGAAACAAAAAATAACAACAGGTATTTTTCACAAAATGAACATTTACAGGCAGGAATTCACAAAAATCAAATTTTGCACTCCACTCCTGATGTCAACAAGGAAAAAATATTCTAGACAACTGGTAGGGGAGTTAAAAAGGATGTTTGTTACCTAACCAAACTTCTGCAACCTCTGGTAAATTTGGTAGATGATATATCTTTCTCTACAATCTCATTACCTTGTAACAGTCCAAATAATAATCCATATCTTCTTGTAATTTCTTAATCTGCAAAGAAAAAGAAAGTATAAATCTAACAAGCATGAATATAGCTACAAGTGAAGCACCAGAAAGAGGAATAGCCTTATACAAGTAGCTAAATCAACAATGCACGCAGTTGAACCTGGGTTTTAGCAAGCAAAAATCTGGCAACATACAAATCCCACGTTTTGCAATGATTATTATTTACGCTTCCTCCCATTACTGACAAGAAAGCAATTTAAACTACAGGAGGAAATATGGATTTGACATAGCATGATCATCTACAAGCTATCAATTAGAAACTGAAAGTGTGTGAAACAGACTGAATTTTGCACAATCTTTATAGATGAGAGATTTCTAAAACAACCTACATATAAATAAACCTACCTATTAAAGTTCAAAAGACATGATGGTGTGTGATGCAAGCTGTAAACAAACAAATCAACAAACAAAAAACATACCTCATCAGGCTGTATTGTACAATTGTCCAGCATTCTAAGGATCATCTGAAAAAGGCGAACACACACATTAACAATCATTGGATACACAGGAAAAGGCTGTTTAAACACCCAAGTGACTCGCACTGCTGGAGGCTTATTCTGGTTTCAGAAGTAAACATATGAAGCAAATAGAACTAATACTACTTCCCCTGGATGAGATGCCAGTCCATCACAAGAACCTTCCAATGCTTTGATTTAGTTACCTCAAAATGTTGCCAGTACCTATTTATATTCTGGGTGTGAGAGGAAAGTGGCTCTTCCTAGAACACAGCACAATGACCCTAGCCAGCACTCATAACAGTTTGCTAAGGGAGTCCAACAACCTAACCATTAGCAGAGCTTGAAAAAAATGTGAATAGGCCATTTTGCTAATGCAAATATTCCCTAGTTCCATTCCCTTGTGGGGGCAAGAAGTGATCACTCCGCCAAAAATGGCCTCATTAATACATTAAATAGATAAAATTTTGCCCCCACAAGGGACTGGAGCTAACATTAGGAAAATGGTGTATTCCAGCTTGTCCTTTGGACATGAAGCTCTCAAATTTTGCTTGCCCTGAGCAAGTCTGAGTTTTCATTGGCAGACAACTTGCTTGAGCCTTTGCCCATTGGGCAAGTGACAATGAAAAGTTACTTGCCCCCACCCATCCCAGACAACCGGACGGTACTTTTTTTGAGCCCTGGAATGGTCATAATACTAAGTTATATATTACAAAACACCCCAAATACCTTCAAATGGAATGTAGCAACCCTATATTCCATTCCAAGCTTGTGCTTACACACAAATGTACATGTAGCTAGAGATAGTTGCCAACCACAATGCTGACATGGTTAAATTTCTCCAGCTATTAGCCTGGTGCCTCTCTCTACCCAAGGTGTGTAAATGGGTGTGAGAGAGTTGCCTATGCACATAACACAAGGAAATTCCCTAGGACTAAACTGTAAACTGCTTGATTAAAAGCCACAAATGCTAACCATTTGTCTCACTATGACTAGAAATAATCATTCTGTTAAAACTCGAGGTTTTGTACATGTAGCTCATATTACAACTCAATATGTTGGACAGAAAACGATAAATACATATATTCATTACCTCCCATTGCTGGTTATGATGCCGATGTCTCATTGCCCAATCTTGTAATTCATCCACTTTATCTTGTCTCTAAATAAGGGAACGAAGATGGTTCATTCTGTGTGCTTATGTTTTCTTTTTTTCATTCAAACCAGTGCTCTGAATTAATATGCAGTCATGTGTACACAAATAAAATGCTAAGCACGTATGTCCACAACATCCTCAATATCTAAAACTTATTTTATTTTGCCAAACATACATATGAAAGCAGTTTCTTTACCATCCAGTGATTTTAAGGTATTTCCAAAGAGCATTCTCCATGCAGAAAGAATATAATGTCTTGAATTTGATTGCAAGGTATCCACCACAACATGCTCAATTTCAAGTCAATAATCCACTATAAAAATTGCATGTGTCAATGTCACATTTTTTGAGTAATCTTTGTAGTACAAAACCATTTTCACAGAGAGGCCTTACATCTCTATCAAGCTTCTTCTTTCGTGATCCTGCATAGACCTGTTCTATTTCAGATTCTATTTGGTCCACCTAGGATTAAGAATAAATAAATGAATACTACATCTAAAACAAATGTTAACATAACCTAAAAGGTTGAGTAGATAACATAAAACAAATAGAATTTTTACTGTCTTTATTACAGATCAGTTCAATTATGTCATGTTCCCATGCACACACTAATTAATGCAGAAAATATCTCTCTTATTTCTGGACCATAACACTTAAAGAATAACAACCACAAATGAACTTAATCCTGGTAAGTCTCAAATGATTAAACAATGCAAACTTAACTAACTATTTTGGAAGGTCTTATTTTGGTATAGAGACTCTTTTTTCTCTTAGTCTTTTAATGATAATTGCAAATCATTAAAATTACTCAGAAACTTCCCAAAGTGTTCACTATAACTTGATTTTTCTTAAATCACTATGATTTGCTTTGGGTAAGCCACCAGCACTTATTGAAAGGGCTGAATTCCAGAGAATTTTTGTAACAACCAATAAGAAAAACCAATCACGCCTGTGGCAAGTCAAAGTAAAACACCTTCTGTAAATGCTAAAACCAATCACACTCAGAGTTGTCCCCTTGTGTATGGCAAACTTTGTGCCAGGCCTCTAGTAAAACAAAAAAAGGCCTACCTCTATTTGTAACCTATCTAGGACTTCCTGCAACAAGAACAGAAAATCAGGGAACTTAAATCATCGTCAACAATTTCATCATAGAGAAGTTAAGTTAAGTTCCTTATCTCAGATGCAAAAGAAATATATTATGTCTACACCTTTAACAGCTGCAGACACCTGAAGTTTTAATCTTGACTTTTGGGCTCCAGGAAATAAAAACAAAAAGTCCTTGATGAGTCCTCAAGAGTGCGAGCACGAGAGCAGCCACAAAGAAGGTGCAAAGAAAAAAATGTCTCTGGACTTCTTTGTAAAAAAGGACACTTAGTCCCCTCCACTACATAACCACCTTGCCATTATCACCTCCATCTTCACCACCAAAATTTAATCGAGCAACATGTAAATACAAAACAACCACCACACAGTGTCACACGTGTATTGGAGTATGTTGTCTCAGAAAGAGTGGGAAAATCGGAACCATCTGACTTCTGTAGGCCATGAAGCTGTTATTTCCTACCAGTTTGGGAAAGTGCCTTATATTTTGACAGAAAATTTATTTGCAAGATATGTCATGAAAGATGCTCAAATTTCACAAAAGTGTAAACATATGCTGTAAGTGAAATATGAAACCCTGTGGTTGGTCACAAGATCTTAGTCATGCAGTCTTGTCTGGTTTCATCAACATATTTCACAAAAGTGTGAATGATAAGACAACGTAGATTGAATGAAGAGTTTGATACAAGAGAACCCAGAAAGGCAATTAGAAAATATCTTTCTCAGTCATTTGGAAAGATATAAGGCCATTGATTGATCCAGCTTGACTCAGCCACCGTATTTATTCACTCTTTTACGTTTATATATGGCTGTAGGACTAGATTGCAACACTAGATTGTCACAAAATGCCTTGAAAGTAATACGGGCATTAATATTGTAGGCAAAACATTATAGACATAACAAATATTTAGAACACAGAAAGTGTCATTAATTTACAAAAGGTAAAATTCTTCAAGCCATGCATTTTTCTTTTTTTTTTTGT